AACCAACAAAATGTGTTCAATAGTTGTCTGAGGTGCCTAGCACTTTGGGGGGCCGGCTGAGATGTTGAGGTTTTAGGTTTCCAGGTGTGATATGGAGATACCCATCTGGCAACTATCTAAATACCCGAAACTGTTCTTGAACACATGGAAGGGCTCTGGGAACTACTGGTGGGAATCCAACCCTCGATTGAAAAGCCTAGACCCTAAACTTTAAGCCCCTAAACCCTAAACCCCCAGAGCCTAAACCCCCCAAAACCCTAAACCCCAAAACCCTAACCCCTAAACCCTAAAACCCCTAGGCCTCTTGCAACCGCTTGGACAATCCTCAGAAGCAGGTCGCCTTGACGCCGCAAGGACCGACCCATACCTATATAGCTCCCCTAAAGGGCTATATAAGGATAATGAAAAAGAAATACTTTATCATAACAGGGTATATATTGGGATTATAGTCCCACTTATGTAGATAGAATATGGGGGCGTATATGGGGATAATGGAAAAGAAAAGGGAAACTACTATTTAGGGTTTAGGGTTCAGGGTATAGCTCCCGAAAGTGGATAGAATATGGGCTATATGGGGATCTTGCTATAGTTTTGATTTTGAGTCCTATCTGAAGCAGACACATTCAGGATCTGCTGCATCTGATTCAGACTAGCGTGGTATTGTAAGGCGCGGGAACACAGGAGAACAAGAGAAAAAAAAAACTAGGAAGTTTAGAGAACCCCAAATGTGCGCGCGAAGTACGCTCAAAGGCTGCGCAGGACGCAATCGGCACAGGACGACGCCAGACCTAAAACCCAAACCGGAACCCAAGACAAGGAGGCGGAGCCATTCTCTCTACTTAAGGAGACTACAAGACCTAAAGCCTGAAAGAGCAGTATGGGGCATGAGGGGAAGGCTGAGAAGCGAAGCGCGCTTAACAATGCAGCGTTGATTTTCCAGAGGCGTCATAGGGTATAGTTTAAACTTGCAAGTCCCTTGCAGTGAAGTCAACAAAAGAATGACTACACTTTTTTGAGTGGCGCATCAAGCGACCTTAGTTTGACTGGAGGATGGTTCTCGAACGAAATTGCCACTATGTGGAAACTTGGCATCAAAATTCTGGCCCCTTGGTGGGTCGCCATGAGAATACGGCTCTTCATGGCAATTACGCATACAAGGGCCAGGATTTTGACAACCCCACCATACAAACATGGCAGAATAAGGCTACTCAAAAGGCTAGCGACAATCTTCAGATGCTTTCGCGCCTGCGCAAATTTTGGGGATCCCCCTAATAACCCCGTGTACTCTCACCCCCTGGGTTCCCCCTTAACTAACCCTAAATTGGCCCAACAAAGCCAGGGGTGTGAAGGGGCTTTAATGGGAACCCAAATAGGAAACTCCAAGAATACAGTAGGAATATTATAGGAAACCTACCAGGGCCCCTGATACTCCTATTGTATTCCTACTGTTGTGTAGCCGTGAAGATATTACTTTGGGAATTGACGCAGCGGATTTGCGGATATCCTGCCTTGTCCTTGGGGATGAACTCATCGGTGATGTTGGAGGTAGGGGAGCTAATCTTCCAGGCGATGTAGTCATCCTAGGATTAGGGGTTGTGGTGTTTAGGGTTTAGGGTTTGGGTCTCTACATGCCTACATCCGGCAGGACCCTGGAAAAAGCAGCTACGTAGGAATACTTGAAGTGCCAGTCCAGAAGCAGCTTCACGACTTCGACACCTAGACACTGCACTCAACACCCAAAGCACTACACCCTACCCCCAAACCAACATAACATGGAACTAGAACAGATCCAACACACCCAACCCCAACCCCAAAATCTCTCAACCCCAAGCCCCACACTCCCCCAAAACAAATATCAAAGCTGATATGAGCTATAATCTAAACTCCTAATATCCCCCCTCATAACCCCTACAATGCTCCAACATATAATCCCTATATGAGCGCCTTTTAAGACGTTTAGACTATAGCTCAAATGCTTCGGTTAAGGGGATTTAAGGTTTAGGCAAGGACGGTCGTCTTGACAGGACCCTTTTTGGAGAGTGTTAGGGTTTAGGGTTTAGGTTAGAAGGACCCCTAGTGGTATACTAGGTATATTTGAGGACACTAATATAATCCTTAGTATCCCTTATAGTCACTATTACCCCTAAACCCCTAAACCCTTTTCATCCCTTGTCACTATTCACCCTACACCCTAAACCCCCGAACCCTAAATCCTTATTATCCCTTGTAGTCACTATTACTGGGTGGGGGGTCCACCTAAGGTTTAGGGATGTAATTCCTAAGCACCCATCGTATTGCATCCAGGCGTCCCCAGTGGGGCCGAAGGTGAGAGAGCAGTCGCCTGAGGAAAACTCAACAGCGCTGTACTTGGGATTTAAGATTTAAGGTTTCAAGGTGTAGGATTTGGGATTTGGGGTTCGGAATTTGGGGGATGTACTGTTGAGAGACACTGGGATCTTGCAGCAGACTCCACTTAGGAACCCTAAACCTAAACCCTAAACCCTATTATAATCCCTAAACCCTAAACCCTAGACCCTAAACCCTGGACCCTAAACCCTAAACCCTAGTTTGGATACCATACTGCCAGCAAAGCTGACCACCCGCAAGGAAATCAGGATATCTTGCACCACCCAGGTTTGATAAAATCACATTTTGGTGGTTTCCTAAAATTGGGGGTACCATTTTGGGGGTCCCAATAATAAGGATTATAGCTTTGGGATCCCCCCTATCTTGGGAAAGTATCATACCATGGAGGTTCCTCAAATATCCTGGTCCCTTCCGGGAAGCCCTCATCATGTGTGCACCTTTTTGAGGTGCGGGCGCACATCAAAAGCGACATCAGAAACTCCCATAGGCCGTGATGCTGAAAATGGCCCTTGTTTAGAAGGTGAATGGCAGTCAAGGACGTCACGGACGCCAAGACGGAATTGAGCGCGCGTGCGCGCGCGCGCCGCGCGGTGTTGGTCGAAAAAAGCAGGGTCCTGTTTGGGGAGTCCCTATAAACAGGAATTTTTGGTGGTTTATTCATTTAAGGGGACGCATTTCTGGGAAACCTCTCTTTTTGTTTCCATATGTTGAGAGGATTGGCTTCTCTGCCCCAGCAGCCTTGACAGGGGTGCTTCTCGACATGCCCCTGGCGGTTTAGGGTTTAGGGTGGAGTTTTGAGGTCGGTAGTTACCAGGTGGGTACCCTCGCATACTGCTTATATACTGCTTATATGAGGAGCCTAGGGGTATAGAAGGGCTATGTAGGTTTTTTTTGGTGGGCAAAACTACCCACCTGAAATTTCCTTAGATGGTAATCCCCAACAAGGACAGACCCCAGAATCTAATCCCCAGACATACCAATATCATTTTGAGGTACCCTCTTACTATGCTTGTAGAAGGAGCCTTGGACCAGCGTGCTGGTAAGCATTTAGGCGCCTGTATTACCCCCAACGCGGTTCAGGGCTTAGGGTTTAGGGTTCAGGGTTTAGGATTTAGGGTTTAGGATTTAGGGTTTAGGGTTTAGGATTTAGGGTTTAAGGTTTAGGGTTTGAGAAACTCCCACATGAACTACAGTCAACATGTTCTTATGTAGTTAACGGACATCAGTCCTTGCTATTTCAAAATACATGAGGGAACAAAGGGACCCAGTGTCGGACCCTGGACAGTCCAGCTGAATGGTGAAGTGGTAACGCTGAAGCCTAATCACTAAACCCTCATTAATCCATAAACCCTTATCAGGGCCAGATCCCTATACCCAAATGGTCCTTCCTTAATGGTCCCTTGGGAACTCTAAACTCGGAGCTCCCACAGCTTCTGCTAGCTCAGACCCGCCGAGTCACTCCATTGCTTGCCGCTGGTGGCAGTGTCCCAAGCCTTGCAGAACTCGACGGCATCCGCCTTGATCCGTGAACGGGAATGCAGGAGCCGATCTTTCGTAGAAATCTCTTTAGGGCTATTGTATGCCTCATACGTGCATGTCCACACGTAAGTGTTTAGGGTTTAGGGTTTAGGTTTAGCGCTTTTGCGTGGTTTAGCGTTCAGGGTGCATGCAGGGTTCACGAGATTTACCAAATCATGGATAAGCAAAAGGAGGAGAACACGGAAATTGAAATCGAAAGATAGGCGGCGGAAAGGCATTACGCAATGTAGAAGCCTGACTATGATGACAGGTTCCTTATTATGGTTTAGGGTGGTAGGTTTCCTATATCACTATGGTATAAGGTACCTCGAATAACTCCATAATAGGAGCTCATTGTTAGGACCTTAAAACATTCCTTGGCCAACTTGCAACCAACCCTAAACCCTAACCCCAGCTTCCTGCCGTACTGCTGGCTTGTAAGGAGTGAAGCAATGAACCCTAAACCTTAAACCTGACGCCGTAGGGTTGGAGTTCGGGTTTGGGGTTCGGATAGTTTTCAGGTTTTAGGGTTGGGAAGGTTACTTACTGTCGGTCAGTAGGGAACAGAGGAATATAGTGTATAGGAATCATATGAGCCATGGCCTAAACCGCTAGTATGCCCCTTCATACCCCTTACCCCCCTTAAGGAGTTTAGATTGTAGCTGATATAGGGATTAGACTGTCTCCTTCCATACTGACCACCAGTAAGCTTAGGGTTTCGGGGGGTTGTGGGTTTGGACTGACCAGGGGTTAGGGTTTTGGGATTTAGGTTAAGAAATGGGGGGGGACCTTGTCCATCACATGCTCCCACGGAGAAATCTCCACCACTCAACAACACATGTTCCCATAACGCATCTTAACACATACATGTATGATATTTTGAATGTTCTTGACTGGGGGTAGGGGTGCCTCTTATTTACGAAGGGGACGCGACTAGCTTCACCAAGCAAGCAGAAAGTTGATAGAAGAACTCCTGCACCAGCCTGAAGCACTAAACCTGGGAACATAACAGGGATCAGGGTTTAGGGTTCAGGGCAATGAACCTTACACCCAAGAAGCAGAAGGCTCCTTTCAGTTTGCCGGGGCACGGTCTTGTAGAGCACCTCGTACTTGTCGTGGTGGTAGTTCAGGTTGATGCTGAAGAGATCCTCGGCCTTGCCATGGGTTAGGGGTTTAGTAACCCTGAGCCCAAATATTTAGGGTTTAGCCTGATAAGCCCTAAACCCCATACCCTGAATCCTACACCCTGACGTTAAACCCCAAACCTAACAGTTAAGACCAAAACTAACCTGTGAGCTACCATCTTCAGTGGCCTGAAACTTCCTTCAATGCCCGCTGCCATCACATAACAACATTTTCTCGAACACATGTTGGTGCTGTGATTCTTAGTAGTATTGTTAGTCATACATTCAGCCGCGCTGCTATTATTACCCAAGAAATACTGGTGCTTATTGGAGGTACTTATTATTTGCGGGGCGAGGGAAAAGTGGGAGGGAACACATTTATACTGCCAAAAACGCCATAGCTACAGCGAAAACTAGTCAGAAATCCATGATGCATCTATGTGAGAGTTTGCATTGAACATGGCCCCTTCCCGCATTATGGGTCTCCCTACTATGCCCCCTAATTTCAGGGGGAGCCATCCGGGGGTAGCATGGGGAGGTAGTCCACCAAACCCAAATCTCAATTGTAGAGATGTCCTCCCACGTGACTACACCTTACGTAAATGGTCATCTCAATGCGTCAGAACTCCTTGCACCGCGACCTGGGAGTTCCCCAAAATTCCAAACCTGCAACCATAATTCCGGTCCCCCTATCTAGGGAAGCTACCACATGTAGCTTGCGTCCCGGAAAACCCACTTCAACCTGGCGCTGGCCTTTGTACGCCCTGAGCTGCACATCCTGTAACTTCCCTACTAGCCCCAGTAGAAAGAAACAATGAATCCTGACGGCAAATCCTAAAACTGAAGCGTGTGTGGTTTCGGTTAACAGTCAGCCTGCTCCAAAGAGGCCTTGCAGTTGGGGCGCTCACCACAGTACCTGCAATGCAACGGGCAAAATGGCGGGGGCCTGAATAAGATTCGGATTTAGGGTTTCGGGTGTATGCTTGAGGGCCCTAAACCCTAAATAAATCCTGAAGATGTTGAGGGTTTAGAGAGTTTAGTCTCGGAGGGCGCAACAAATTAGAGCAAGGTATTAGGGCATGCTTGGCAAGCTCAGAAGGTTTAGGGTTTAGGGATATAATCCTATCTATAGCCTACTAGGTTTAGGGTTTAGGGATATAATCCTATTTATAACCTACTTACCTACCTTCAAGTACGTTGCGGCAAGTATATTGGGTTGCTGTTAAGAAACTTATATTAAGTTAACATGATAAGGAAACCCTACGTAATATTTACTATATACCCACGTTCTGGTAACTTAATTCAAGTTCCTTAACAGCAATGCCAGTGTAGCAGGGAAGCAATAACATAACGGATCTAACAGGATAGTGTAAGCTGCCCTTACCTCCCCTATCTAGCCGCTCTTGCGCAGGCTGTAGATAAAGTAGGTTACTTGTCCCAGCTCTAACTGTTGTGCTATAGCCCAAGTGTAGCCAGCCTTAGGGAACTTGCACGTGCAGTTGGGTTGTAGTTACTCAAGGCCTTCAAGCACAGATATAAGGTCAAGGCCTTAAATGCAAAACCCTATGCCTGAAGCCCTGTACCCTACGTATCCCAAAAGGAAACATAAGCTTGGGTCTTCGGGTTGAGGATTTACTGGGTAACCGCCCACAGGATCTTACATGTGGACACAGAGTAGCGCGTAATGTTTTGAGAAAGCAGCCATCTCCCTGGTACCCAGGCTTCGCAGGAGAACCCTGACCCCTGAAAGCCTTCAGCCAACACTTCCCGAAGTTTGGACGAAGAACCATTGGAGGGCTTGTCGAAATAACGGTCTCTTTTGTGGTACCCTGAATATATTGGGCCGCACTATCCTAGACCTAAAAGACACCACAATGTTGACAACCTACCACTTGAGCCACGCCACTTGGACTCCTTGAGCACGTAGGGCAGGACCGGCTTCATCCTCGGTTTCCGGATCATGTAAGCTACAGTCTAAACTCCTCAAAGGGAGCTATATAGGGGATTCTATAGGGGACTATTATAGGAGCTATTTAAGAGGATACTAGGAGTTTAGATTATGGCTCATGTGGTGAGGTTAGTCTTTAGGGTTTGGGGTTTCGTTTTTGGGGGAACTCTTTGAAACGGGGTCCTAGGGAAAGAGTACTTGGGAGGGTTGGGGGGACTTAGTAAGTGTACGATAACCTCAACGACATAGACCCCCAGTTCTCCCTTTTTTCAACTGCACCAGGCTAGCATTCAAGCCTGAAGGCTTGGAATTCCTCAACAGTCATAGGGCTGACATGGGCCTCCCTTAAACCCCAACCCCCCCCAAAAAAAAGCCGTTCAGGGATTAGGACTTAAGGTTTAGGGTTCAGGGGAGACTCCAGTAGTCCCCAATGGCCCCGAGAGTCCCTAAGGGAGGTTTGGGGCCTCCAATACCAAGCCTATGATGAACATCAGGGTTGTTTTCGGCAACCCTTAGGATTTAGGGTTTACTGGGGGTACCGTGAATGGAGGAAATCCCGCGCCGCTTAATTAGGTGCCCCCAAGTGCTGTTATTCTCAGGGCTGATCTATGGTTTCGACTTCATATTGACCAAGCTTGGGGAGGTCCTCCAATCCTGCACCATCGTCGGTCACCATACTGTCCATCTTGGCCATATCCTTCGAGATTTGCCTGGATACCTTCAGCATGTTGGCTAGCACGAGTCCAGAGCTGTCATGGCCCAGCCTTTCCCGCGAGGTCGAGTCGAGCCCATTTGGGACTCCAAATGATGCACCTGCTTCTTCACGCCGCAGCCAAGGTTGACCAGGTTAGCTTGCTTCAGCGCATACGTCCTGAGGTCGTTGGGCGCCAGCATTTTGAAGGCATCCTTGGCAATCTGGCACGGCAGCTCAACGTCCAACTTCTCGATGTCCGAGGATACCATCTGTCATCATACAATACCCTTGTATGTCCTTGTACTTATACCATCACATGCCCAACAGCTGTTTCTAGCGACTTATGCCCCGCAGTTGCCTCACGTGCGGGCATGAATCGGGGGGTACTCAGCTGAAGGCGCGCCTCTTCTTTGCATAGGCCTTATGTAAAGGGTTATATGAGCTACTGTCTAAACTCCTAGTATCCCCCTTCATAACCCTATATAATCCCCTATATATTCCCCTTTAAGGAGTTTAGACTATGGCTCATATGGAGATACAAGGGTACATCACGGCCGTGTTCCTCATATCTTTGCGGTGTTGAGATCCATGGTCCCGACCTTTTGGAGCGCTGGATGAGGCAACTCGAAGTTCAAAACCTTCTGCCTAGCCGGGCTGCCACCCTCAAAGTAAGGCCCAAAACGAGAAACCTTCGACCCCTGGAGCCCTAGACCCCTAAACCCCTTTAAGGTTTGGGTTTGGGGTTTAGGGGTTTGGGGTTAAAACCCCCCCAACCCCGTTTATGAAGGTTAATTTGGCCAAGTGTCCCATCCATGAGAACGCTCACCGGGGCTTTGACAATGTGGTAATTGTCGGTAAGAGCCTGAGTGAAAGTACAAGAGGAAGCTGAGGGCATATGAGCTACAGTCAATATTTCCTGTGTTATTTAAGGGAGTTGGGTTCCTTATTAGGGACTATATTTGGGACTACGCATGCTAAACTGCAAGAGGGACCCATGTCCACGGTTAAGGGTCCTGCCTCTTAATAAGGCTAAACTTGACAGTAGCTCATAGGATCCGTAATTAATCTCAACTCCTAGTATCTCCCTTAATAATCCTTTTACTCCCCTATAGAACCCCCTGTAAGAAGCTCAGACTAAGCTCATATAGGTCTCCGTACTCGTGTAACACTAACTCAGAGCAGGATGGTGTCACAAGGTACGCGTCAGTCTCAGGTCGTAAGCTCGGGGAGACACATACCCTAAGGGTCCAAGGAACCAATAGTCAGGTACTTAAGTTTTGAGGAATAGAATTTGTAGTACAGGTTCTGGGTATTTATATGATTATTCAGTCCATGGACACTCAGGGATACTGGGCGTCCACAAAATACTCAGAAAGATTGCAAAAACCAAAGTCATGTTACAGGTGCTAAGCATTGAACTCCAAATCCCTAGACCAACTCGGCTTCTGCTGTCGAAATTTGGAGGGAAAAGGGTACGTGGATTGGAGGGATCCCGCTGCAAGACTATTGCAAATCCCTTTCAAGAGAAAGCCTCTTTTAAGTACTGTAGAAGCCTGAAAATTTAGCAATATCATCTCCCTATATCCCTTAAATGACTACAATAAGATATGCACAAACCCTCCTCAGGCCCTCCAATATACACTAGCATCAGCCATGAAGTACCATCCAACCCCTCGAACCCTCCCTTCGTCTTGTCAGCGCAACAGGCATTGCAGGCGTGAAGTCTCTTGACATTGTTCCTAAACCCTAAACCCTAAACCCATCATCATCATCCCAGTCTACTGGTAGCCCTCCAGAGCCCCAAAACCTAAACCTCATACCTGGGTGGTTGTCAATTCCAATCGGCAGAGCTTCACGCAGGCCGATCATTACTGACACTGACACAAGAGCAGCTATACGTGTGAGTGTTTGACGCATGCGCTTGGTATTGTGGCCGGGCGCGCAAGCGTTCACTTGCTAGGCGCACAACGCTCAATCTATCGACCGGGCATGGCCACGCTAGAGCACAACACTTACAACCGCGCGCACAACCACTGCAAGACACACACTCACATGCATGTTTTAATGGACCGCACACACATGTTTCAACCCCCCAGGCCAGCTGCATTTTGAAAATTATGGTCCCTTTTGATTACCCTAAATATTAGGTGCCGTATTATAATAGGGATCCAAAAGGGGACCATAATTTTGAAAACCACCCACCTACGCTGACACAACTTAAGCTATAAGACGCCCCACAGACCATTCGCAAAGGGGTGTGCGAAATGAAACGAACCTTAAACGCTAGATCGCTAGATCCTGTGCCCGAAGCCCTTGTTGTAGATAGGAGCTATACTCTAAGCTCCTAGTATCCCCCTTAGTAACCCCTATAGCCTATAAGACTCCCCCATATAATCCCCTATGTCACTCCTGTTTGGGGAGTTCAGACAGCAGCTCATATGGGACCCTTCTTTGGGGATCAGGTCTACTGCACTATCCCAACACCCTACTTCAGAAACCTCATGATGCTCAAGGCGGTGTACCAAATGGTAATGTAGAACCATGGTGAATAACCCCCCTCCCATTAGGGGCCTTAATATTAGGATCCCTATATGACCCCTATTAAGGAGGGGGTTTATTAATAAGGGGTCTACATTATGCAAAAACATTCAGCTGCCCAACAGAGCGAATGTGCCCATTGCTACACCGGGGACGACGGGCTTATTGGGGTAAAGTTGGAGGGCCCCTTGGGCAACACAGATGCGCTCGAAAACTCTGCAGATCCTGAACCCTAAATCCTATCTCTCTACGTCGAACCCTAAATCCCAAACCCCCAACACCGCAATCTACCTTTCCGTGTCAGGTTCCATTGGACCCTGCACCTTAAAGGAAACCCTAAACCCTGAACTCTAACCCTAAATCCTAAACCCAAAACCTTACAGCCTAATCCTAAACCCAAAGCCCTTAACCCCTAAACCCCTCCCAAAGCGCAAGACAAACCTTATAGTCCCCCTTAGGTAGATGGAATATGGCTTTCGGTATATCATATTAAGATCCCCATATATACCCCATATTCTATCCCTAAACCCTAAACCCTAAACCCTATATTCTATCCCTGAACCCTAAACCCTAAATCCTAGACCCTAAACCCTGTATTCCTTAAGGGGGACTCTAAAGCCCTCATGGAGGTGGCCCTCAAGGCCCGGACAAACCACGTGGTGCTAACAGTCTTGGCTACCTCGCCTCGGCTGCTTAGCTCCTATGGCCGAAACCATGGGTTGGGGGTTTTGGGCCCCTAGGGTTTAGGGTTTACGGTTAGGGGATTAGGGTTTAGGGTTTAGGATTTATGGATTAGGGTTTAGGATTTAGGGTTCAGGGTTTAGGGATTAGGGTTTAGGGTTTGGGGTTCAGGGTTTAGGGTTTAGGGTTGCGGCGCCGAGATGTTTTTCGAGCAACGGTCACCTCTAGGGTTCAGGGTTTTGGGGGTTTAGGGCTTAGGGGGTTTACGATTTAGGGGGTTTAGGGTTGGGGAATAAAGTCTGGGTTTGAGGGTTTAGGATTTAGAGCTGAGGCTTTAAGGTCGGTTACGCGAAATAATGGGCTTTTCTCAGCCTAGAGTGGGAGGAACTTCGAGATACACAGACTCTAATTATGGGCTGCTGGCTTTCTAGGCGATTCCGTCCAGGTTTAGGGCTTAGGGTTTGGGGGTCTAGGGTTTCGGGTTTCCCCTTAATTCCACCTCCCCTTCGTCCACTTGGGTTTAATGTAGGATTTGGGGTTCAGGGTTCTGTATGGATTCCCCCAACCCTCTATACTACACCCCCAAATCTTCCTCCTTCAGTATAGTTTAGGTGGACCCCCCACCCTGCAAAAATGGCATACTGGGAATGCAAAAGGACCCTAGTGTACTCACTTTTCTCCCTTACAGTCACTATTGCTCGGTGGGGGTCCACCTAAAACATCTTCCTAAACCCTAAACCCTAAACCCCTATCATTCAAGTTAGGGAATGCCTGGAACACCCATGGTCGTATCTGGTACCCGCGCGTCCGAAAATTCAGCCTCCCGCATATACCCCACGTGACCCGAACTCCTGTTGATGTTCGCTCCGCAATGTCGTCCCACAAAGTCCTAATCCCTGAACCTGGAACTCCGAACCTGAATCCCTTGAACCTGAAACTCTGAACCTCAAAAAACCCAAAGCCTTAAATTGTACCCGTAACCCTGAAATCTAGATCGCTGAACCCTAAGCCCTTAACCATGAACGCTACACCCCAAACCGTCAACCCTTTATTCCATAGGGTCGCAGAGGTGGTAGTAGGCCGGGTCGGCTGCCAACTTTGTCTCCATGCTGATGTTGCCTGGGCATAGGAGAACTTCACTTTGGGGCTATATAGGGTGAGAAAGGCCCTAGACATGGTTTAGATAGGGGTTTCGCAGGGGGTCTATAGGGGTGATATGGAAGCTATGTAGAGGAAGGCAATCAAGTTAGACCGTGTCGATGCTTCTCGAGCGCCCAAGCTGTTTAGGGTTTGAGGGTTTAGGGCCTAGGGCCTCCAACTAGTTAAGGCGTCTACAATACCAGGACAAGGGACGACCCTCGAAGGATCGCTGGCAGAGGAAAATTTTGGTCGAGAACTCAGGGATTGCAAACCTAGCGTCCCACGCCCAAGGCTTTCCAACAATTATTCTGAAAAAATATGGTGATAGTTTCAACAGCTCCTCTGAAAACGAGAGCTGCTAAAGCCTGCACCCGGATCCGAATACCCTGGACCCTGAAACCTCAACCCTATACATCCTCATCTGTACATGTTCATTCATGTATCCGTATGACACCCTGTATCCTCAAGAGCAAATCTTGCTATTATCCTTTAAGGGGCCAAGGAGCCGTCAGGGCCCTAAACCCCGATCCCCTCTGGAATCCTCTTACATAATCATAAGGCAATTATGTACAGTAAGGCCTAAACTCCAAAACCCTAATTCCTAACACCCTCAGCCCTGAACCCTTATGTCCCAAGCGGCCATCGGGGCCCATGATAGTCTCCGTCATCTCGGTGGCCTCGTAGTAGGCGAGCGCCAAGATCTTCTTGAAGGGGTGGTGGGTGGGCACCTGAGAACTTGTCGACCATTGGGTTCAGGGTTTAAGGCTGGTTCCTCCCTGCTTGAACCCTGCTGACCCTGAACCTTTGCAACGCACGGCGATCCAAACATCTCAAAATCGTAGCTCCAAACCCTACGAGGTCTGCATGGGGCCGGCACCGTCTCCTTCAGGTGGCCACGGTGATCGAAGAAAGCGACACCCAAGGTCACGTCGCCGTCCTGGCGGTGCTGGCTTTGAGCTTTTGCAAGTCGCTGACATGGTGTGAGCTTGCTCAAGCGAGATTCGCGTTTTCAACTAGGAGAGCACTTCCTTACATAGGACTAGCGGCTAGCTGCCCAGAGGTTCAATTAGACCTTATTTGAGGTGCAAGCGGTGCTGTCCAGCGCATCGAACAAGTTCTTGCTGGAGCCGTGGCGGATGAAGGTTGGGAACTCGAAGCTCTTGTTCAGCAGGGTGTTGGCCTTGGAGACTACATGTTCCCTTGATAATAACAGGATCTATGTAGGGATCCCCAACCTCCAAAACAGAGGATCCCGACGCAGCTACTGAATATGATCGTTGCAGGACCCTAATTTTGGGAGTTGCGGATCCAAATCCGTATAAGCACAACATCCCTAGAAGTCAGGATGTTTGCCTGGGAACTTTACAGTCGCACACAGAGTTGATAGTCAATGTTCCCACCAAAATGGCACTCAGGGTTTCGGGTTTAGTTAAGGCTCCTCCAAAAGGTATTGATACCCAGGGTTTAGGGTTTAGGGCTCCTCCTATAAGTTCACCGGTTTTGCTCCCCTGTTCTTATCCCTTGGAAGCCCAGAAAATGCAAGTCCTGAAGCCTAGGCAAAGGGCAGCCTAGGCATCAATTACATAGTCAAGTACCCTGAAACTCTAAACTTTGGATCATTCTACCTTGCAGTAACGGTTACCACCATAGGGAACAACAGAAACCATTGTAATGCAAGAACAGCTACTGTACGCAAGTGGGAATGACCAACCTAAACCCTAGAATAAGCCACTGACGGAGGACATGCAGTGCAAGAACAAAGCAGTGTGAAGTCGGCAGTGTCAATCGTAGAGTCCCCCTCCCTAGGGTCTGAGTAGGACATAGGATTCAAGGGGCCTACAAAAATGTCAATCTCATGGCTTCATAAGGATTATAGCGACATTAGAGGTAAAACAACATTATTACCAAACCTACCCCTGATCCTTGCATCCTATCTTGCAAGCCTACAACGCAGAAAAGGTGTTTCCAAATTTTGTTGGGGCCGCTTCTGGGGGTCCTTAGAGGGCTTTATTCTAGGGGCAGCCCAGACCCCTGATTCAGAAACCACCTCCCCTTAACAGGGATTATACTAGGGATCCTAATGCTCACGCACAAAAAAAGGCGGCGGGTTCTTAGTTATGGGTCTACATTGTAGCCCTAAACCCTAAACCCTAAATAGAAGTTTCCATTTTCTTTTCAGTTGTCCCCATATAACCCCAATATAACCCTAATGGGTCTACATGAAACCCTAAACCTTAAACCTTATATATTAGTTTCCATTTTCTTTTCCATTATCCCCATATAACCCCAATATAACCCTAATAGGTCTACTTTAAACCCTAAACCCTACACCCTAACCCCTAAACCCTATAAACCCAGAGACTGATATCTGAGTCGGAGGCGTAGTTGCCCACAAGGCTGCTAACCGCGTTGTAGGTCATGTTGCCGCCGGTGGCATTCATCCAGCCAGCAGCATAACTGGGAAACGCAATTGAGGGGTTTAGGATTTGGGGTTTAGGGGTAAGGGTTTGGGGTGTTGAGGAATAACCTTAGTTTTTAGGGGACGAACCAGGCAAGGTACATTTTTCGTAAAGAATACTGTGTTCAAAAGGTCATAACGTGCTAAAGCTGTAGTCAAGTCCCACCCAGTAATAAGTGAAATGCTTGAGATACTTGAAATACCCTGTGCACCTACCCCCTAAAGGTACCTTAAAACAAATCCGAAAGCCTACACCCTAAAGCATAAGTAGTGTAATCCCACCTAGGATTCTTGTTGCTATGGAACCAGGACGGGCTTGGCTTTAGAAACAGAAAGCATCCCCTTGTTTTTGAGACTATGGGCTGATGGTTCAGGGTTTGGGGTTTAGGGTTCGGGGGTTTTCAGGTTTGGGGCTTAGGGTTCAGGGGTTGGGGTTTAAGATTTGGGATGTGGGGTGCAGGGTGTGCGGCTTAGGGTTTCTGGCTTGGGGCCTAGGAAGTGCAAGGAAAAAAAGCACCTCTACCGCTCATGGACAAGTATCCTAAACCCTAAACCCCTAAGACCTAAACACTGTGCTCCCAAAGCATGGGGATTCTATGCTAACACTATCAAAGAAAAAAAACCTCAGACCCTACTCCTCAGTATCCACCCCTTCCAATCTGTAAGGTTGGCTTACGGGTATACATCTGAACATTCAGGGTGTGAGTGGGTGGGGGTTGTTTGATGCTAGTATGAAAGGAGAAATATCCAATACTTAGGGTCATGCTTGAAGTTCAGGGCTTAGGTTTAGTAAATAATTACCAAAGCCACCCATTCTGAGGTCTATCTGGGGTAATCTCTACATGATTATACAAGAAGTTCAGGACCACGATCCTGGTCATTCTTTAGGCCCCTGTATCACCACATTGAAGCTAAGCTGCTCAGCTCAACGAATACTAATTACAATCTACTTGGAGGCTCACGAGTAGTTATACGAGTAGTAAACGAATCGTGACTATACAGTTCAAACCCTTTTCAGGCGTGCTGCTACCCCACAGTATCCTTTCAGTACCCCTGCTAAACCAGTTCCCGAAACCCTAAACCACCCCTTCTCTGACGAGCGACTCAGCATCTCCGTCCATGGCAGCCATCGTGATCATTGCCTATGTGTGGGCTTAAGATTTTGATTTGGGAGTATAGCCATAGTCTAAACTCCTAGTATCCCCCTTAGTAACCCCTATAATGCTCCCCTAGAATAATCCCCTATACTAACCCCCTTTAAACCCTAAACCCTAATCTCTGATTCCCTAGGCCCAATGCCCTATATAAACCCCTTTAAGCATATGCGTGGGTGTAAAGTTTAGGGCTTAGGATTCAGGACTTAGGGTTGTACAACTCTCGGGATCTTTGTAGCAGGGTTTAGGGTTTAGGGTGCCTAAGGCGGAGTAATTACAGGAAGACCGTCCTTTTGAGAGATTCCATCGTAGTGCAGGGTTTAGCATCCAGGGTGGCTTATGGATCTTTCTGGAAGGATGCATGGGGAATTTGTTCCAATGATAGAGAATCAAATGCAGAAAAACATGGAACATGAGGCGGAAACTGGCATCATGTAAGTGTTTATAAGGATTAACACGAATAATTCCTAAACCCTAGGCCCTAGAACCTAATCCCTGAACCCTACATCCTAAACCTAAATCCCTAAACCCGAATCCCAGGGACCCCGGTCATGCGAGTCGGATGCATGTGCCCGAGATCGTTTAGGGTTTGAGGATTAGGGTTTATGGGGTCAGGGTTTAAGGTTAAGGGATGAAGGCCTGTCTTGGAAAAGTTCACACACCCTGCATGACCCTAGGTACACAGCCATAGTCCAAAGGCTTGGCTTAGAAATATGCTTTAGGATTTAGGGTATGGGGAGTTTCCGAAAAACAGGGGCCCCTTTCGAAGAGTCTCCATGAGAAGGCTTTAGAGAGTAATTATTGGCGTCCCCATTCCCCTCTTTCTGGATATTCCCCTATCTTAGAGTCATGAACGATTGTGTCCGAACATGTGGCCGCCCAGTCCAGCGAAAAAAAGTTGACCTTCTTGGAGGTTCATGGGGCATAGTAACTAAATCTGGGCTACAAAAAGTAAAGCTGGAAAAACCATCAAAAACTTTTTTAAGATCAAAAAGAACTTTTGCTCGATCGAAAAAACACTGTACGGTCTTAAAATGCGGTACTGTCATCGGTTTGGATTGCTCAAAATTTTTTGCCGATCAAAACACTTTCCCTTGTGCAATTCAAAACGGTCACAAGGATCGTGCGGGTCTGCGTCGCGATCCTCGTAACTGTCGTCGCTTTTATACCCGCAGAACCTCTCGGATTTTGAAAAACGTCAACAACTACAGGCATCGTGGGGGTCGGGGTCGCGATCCTCGTGACTGTCGTCGCTTCTATACCCTCAGAATCTCTCGAATTTTAAAAGCGTGAAGCGTTAGAGGGATCGCGGGGGTCCAACTGGATGGCGCGAACAAAATGATCCGCACAGCCTTCCGCTACTGCAAACACTTTGCAAACATGGTGATGACACGACGCTTGCATTGCCTTGCAAGCATTGCTGGCCCAAAAAGCGGGCACAGCCCCCCCCATTTGAACAAAATTATCCACACAGCCTTGCCCTTGTCCAAACATGGTGATGACATGATTTGTTTGCACTGCAAGCATGAATGGCCTCGGAAAAGCTGAATGGTTTCAAATAAGGCAGGGGAGTTGGGTAAAACAGCCAGGAGGTTGGGGGGCAAGCATGGTCATGGCAGATTTTTACAAAAACCATGGCTGGCCTCAAAAGAGAAGGGGGGTTGGGGGGCGCAGGCCCCCCTCCATTTGCAAACAAGAACATCCACACAGCCTTAGACTACTGCAAACAAGGTGATGACATGATTTGTTTGCACCGCCTTAATGGATGGCTTTGAAAAAGGTTGGGGTCGCAGCCCCTCCCATTGGCAAGCAAAATGATCCACACAGCCTTCCCTTACTGCAAACATGGCGATGACTTGATATTTGATTCTTTCTAGGCATGGAAAGCCTTAATAGAGCAGGAGGTTTTTGGTGGCTAGGGAAGGCACAGCTCCATGGTGATTTTTCTTACCCCTGTTGCCAAGCGGGGCGGTTTGGGGGGTTGCAGCCTCCGCGATCAGCAGGCAAAACAATCTGCAGAACCTTCCCCTACTGCAAACATGGTGATCACATGATGCCAATTGTTTTACTAATTCCTTCGTTCCTTCCTTCCCTCCCTCCCTCCTTCCTTGCTTCCTTCCTTCCTTCGTTCCTTCCTAGTGCTTATCCGCGTATTTGGAACTACCTGCACCTGAAGGGACTCTGGAATTAGCCCGGGTGTAAGAACTGGTTACGGTTTAGGGCTTATGTGGGTTTAGAATCTACGGATTCGTTTCCCTGGAAGCACTATGCCCATGGTGCATAAGATTGGGGGGGTGGATCTTTGGGATTCAAAGCTTCTGAATAAGGTCGCTCCAAAGGGAACAGGGCTTTGAAAAAGGGAAAACCCTCTAAAGGGTGAACCCTAATACTGCCCCTGAACCTATCATGGGGATAGAAGCTATAGCCTAAACTGATAATATCCCCCTTAGTAGCCATTATAATCGCCCCCTATATTAATATTTCACAACTGGTAACCCCGCTGTTCGGTAACCCCGGTTTGGGGCAGACTTAGTGCAGCATATGATAGTCATATGCCTGACCCACTGC